TACAAATTGAAATTTCTCAACAAACTGATGCAACATTGCAAACACTTATTCTGCTATGCCAAGAAATTCAGAAAACAGGTACATTGTCAACCAAGAGGAAGAGACCCATGTATGTGCCTATTCCAAAGAATGGTGATCCAACAGAATGCAAAAATTCCTGAACAATATCAACATCACATACAAGTAAAATTATGCTGAAAATAATTTTTTTAAAGTTGCAGCTGTACATTGGCAGGGACCCAGAAATTCAAGACAAATATCATTGCTGATGGCAGATGGATCTTAGCGGAATGCAGAGACTACCAGAAAGAAGTTTACTTGTGCTTTATTGACTGTGAGGACCATACAAACCAAGAGTGACATTGGAAAGAATGCCAATTCCACATCGCTTAACTGTACTTGCATGGAACCTGTACATAGACCAAGAGGCCAGTGTTTAAACAAAATAAGGGTATATTGGGGGGTTGAAAATTAGGAAAGGTTTGTGTTAGCATTGTATCCTTTCACTATGCTTAGTCAATCTGTATGTTGTTGTATTTAAGTGCTATCAAGTCAGTTTGGACTCACAGCCACCCTGTAGAGGGTTTCCGAGGGTTTCCGAGGAGCGGCAGTGATGAAGGAATCTCTCAGTACTGCAATTTGAGGTTTGAATTTTTCCCTTTAGTCCTTTCAGTTTGAGAAATCGCTTGCATGTTTGTCCGTTTTGGTTTTCTAGCTCCAGGTCTCTACACATTTTATTATATTTTGGCTTCTTGAGTCACCTTTTGTAATCTTCTGTTCAGCTCTTATACGTCACAGGGATTCTTTCTGTCTTCTTTCTGTTGATAGGCGTGGTGGCATCAGAAGAGAATTGCCCTATGATATTTTCTTGGCTTGTCATGTGGTGCTGTTGGATAAGCATTGGACAACGAACTGAAAGTTCAGTGGTTCAAACCCACCAGCGGCTCAGTGGGAGAAGGATGAGGCTATGTATTCCCATAAAATGGAGAGTCTGGAAAACCTTATATAGTATAGTTATGAGTTGGAATCGACTTGATGGTGTTGGGTCTGAGCTTGAATCCTTACAGGAGCGTTTATTGCCAAGTCTTTTCTTCCACGGAGCTGTTGGGTGGGTTTGAACTGCTGACCTTTGTATCAGCATTTAACCACTGGTTATCTTTCTGTTGTTGTTAAATGCTGATGAATCAGTTCTACTCAGAGAGACCCTGTATATTTTCCAAGCCTTGCAGCAGCAGAAAACCTCATCTTTCTCAGACTGAGAGGCTGGTGGGCTCGAACCAGCAACTTTGTGGTTCATAGTCTCAGCATCCTAGAGTTGTTAAGTGCTGTAGAGTCATTTCTGACTCATTATTGTTGTTGTGAAGTGCCGTCGAGTCAGTTCCGACCCATAGCGACCCTGTAAAGGGTTTCCGAGGAGCGGCTGGTGAGCTTGAACCGCCGACTTTGCAGTCTGGCGCATTAATCCACAGCACCACACCAGGACTCCACAGCAACCCTGTAAAAGGTTTCCAAAAAGCGGCTTGTGAGTTTGAACCACCAACCGTGTGGTTCAAACCTACCCTGCGGTCCAGTGCTTTATCCCACAGCGCCAAATCAAGACTCCTGATCCTGCGGAGCCCCCTAAAATGTAAACTCGGGACATTTGTTTCCTTCTTTTCTGTACCCCAGGGCCGTGGAAACCGATTTCATATGTAGGTGTTGCGAGTGAATAGCTGATTCTTAGGCAAGACTTGGTGACACGTGGGGTCTCTGGGTGGGCGGACAGGCTGGTGACTCAGAAACTCTAAGGGGATTCAGGGGAAGGAGTAAGTTGATCATCTGAGCTCTCGCTTTGTAGCACCTTGACGCTTCTCTCCTCACACTCTTCCTGGACCATGAAAACCAAAGTGACATCCTGTCCTGGAACTCCCGCCCGAGAAGCAGCGACGTCGGACGCCGGGCACCACACACTCGGACCCGCGCACGCGCCCTGCACTCCTGGGAACTATGTTTGCGCTTTGGGCGGGCTCAGACTGGCCCCCACACCCTGCGGCGCTGCACGTGTTCCGCGGGGTCTTCCCCCACTCCACGGCGGGCGGGGACAGAGGCAGGTGCTTGCTGGGGATAGCCTTAGAGAGGTCCTGTATGCCACGGAAGGGGAAACTGAGGCTGCTATAGGGAGACAATTTTCCCAAGACCACAGGGTCGTGCAGTGGCCGCCGCCTCTGGGAGCCAAGACCATGTTTTAATGGGAGTTTTCCTAGGGCGCTGCTGCGGGTGGGCATTGCCACCCCCTTCCTTCCCTCCTGCGTTCACTTTACAAACATCTTCCGAGCGCCCTCTGCCGGCCAGGCACTGGGGAGACAGCACGAGCAAACGTGCGGGGGTCCCTACTCTTAAAAGCACCCACCTTCTAGAAGGGCGAGAGGTTTTATACAAGCAGGCCACTGGGCAGTGATACAGTGGAGAAGGAAAATAACGCAGGGTAAAGGGCGAGAGAGTGATGGCTGGGAGTGGGTGGTTTAAGCCGTCATCAGAGCCCTCTCACACAAAGTGATATTTAAACACATACAGAGAGAAGCGTTCAGACAACCGAGGAACAGTCTTTAGGGCAAGGGAAGCGGCTGTACAAAGGCCTGGAGGCAGGAGGGTGCCTGGATGTAGGGTGGGATGAGAGGAGAGAAAAGAGATGATGTCTCAGAGAAAGGTATGTCTTTAATAGGCCTGTCTAGGACCTGAGATTTCACTCCGAGGATGATTGGGATTTGGGAGAGTGAAGTATAGGGACTTCACTGACGCTGGGTATGTGGGGGCTGGGGTGGTGGTGGTAGTGGTGGTGATAGTGTTGAAACTGGGCTTGCCCAGTGTGAGCAGAGAAGGTTTTGGATAAACGAAGAATGTAGCAAATAGGAAATCATTCTTCCACCTGCCTGCCTGGAAGTTCTTCTCTGCCCTTTGTAATGGGACACCGTTCCCAGACCCTGCAGCGACCTCCAACTACATGCAACTGTGTGGAGAAGAGGTCACAGGGACTTGGGACCATATATAAGTCCCTTAGAGTTGGGCTCAGCCTGTTGGGTGAGGATGCTGGAGCCCTCGGCCAGGGCTAGCTTCCCCTGTGGGCAACCTATGTTTTGCTGCTACTACCTACTTGAAATTAGTAATAACTTTTGAACTAAGGCCAGAATTTGCATTTTCTGGGCTCCATAAATTATGTATCTGGTCCTGCTTGGTGAGAGGTGCCTCTGTGTGAATGGGAACAAGAAGGGGGTCAAAGATGAAGGGGGAACCTTCCTTTCTCAAGAGTCCACCACACCAATAGAAGAATCGTGCACTGAGAGCGGGGAGCATCCCAGAACCACTTCCTTCGCCCACTCTTCCTCCTCAGAGGAAACGCTGGGACCACCCTGACCCCCAAAGCCATGCTGTTACAGCATTTTCTTTGTTTCTGTCCGGACTGCATGCCACAGATGGATTTATTGAATTATGTGTCATATAATAGAAGCGGAGCGGGGCGGGACGGGGCGGGGCGGGGGAGGGGGTGATGAGTCCTAGTTTAGCATGGCAGGATAATGTGCTGGGCCACAAGGTCAGTTTGAGCCACAAGATTGGTGGTTCAATCCCACGGCTGCTCCTCGGAAACCCTTATCTATGAGTCAGAACCGACTCATTCCATGGCAATTAACAACAACAATCCAGGTGGGGAGCTTGTCTGAGCATCTCTGTATCCCTCATGCTTCGTGCATAGTAACTCACTACCACTGAATCAATAAATATTTGTTGAAGGAGTTATATACATACCTGTAAAACAGAAATCAGTTAGCCTTTTAATTAATGTGCTACATGGGTGTACTTACTCTAAAAGCTCTAGGATTAGCTCCCCCTCCCCCACCACCACCCTCACATGACCAAAAAACCCAATTTCGACTCTTGGTGACATCACGTTAAAGTAGAACTGCTCTGTACTGTTTCCTAGACTCACAGACTTTATTTCTCCAGGACTACAGACTGGGTTCAAACCACCAATTTTTAGGTTAGAAGTCCAGTGCAAACTGTTTGCACGGCCCAGGGACCTAAATAATAAACAGGGTCAAAAATCAGTTACATTTAATACACGAACGAGGGCAGGAGATTTCTAATTTAGTGCCTTGAATTGGGGGTGGGAAAGGGGGAATTGGCTTCTAGTGGTTATGTGCTGTGGAGTTGTTTCCGACTCATAGTGACCCTGTACAGGGAGCAGAGAGCCTAATCTTTCTCCCGCGGACCAGCTGGTAGTTTCGAACTGCTGACCTTAAGTTCGCAGACAGATTCGTAACCACTACGCTACCAGAGCTTCTAGTTGTTGTTGTTGTTGTTAAGTGCCGTCGAGTCGGTTTCGACCCATAGCAACCCTGAACAGGGTTTCTGAGGCTGTAAATCTTTACGGGAGCAGAAAGCCTCCTCTTTCTCCCACGGAGCAGCTGGTAGTTTCGAGCTGCTGACCTTGAGGTTCACAACCCGATTCGTAACCACTGCGCTACCAGAGCTCCTTCAGAGCTTCTAGTAGGGGCTCAAAAAAGAACAGAAGGAAGAAGAGGGGAGGAGAGCAGAGAGAAGGAGGTTGACAGGAAGAGAAAAACAAGAAAAGGAACGAGAAAAAGAAAGAAAGATCCACAAAGCAGCTTCCACGCCCCCTTCCACGTGCGCGCCCTACCTCTCAGGGCATCACTGGGCCGGCTGGGCTATGTCGGAACTACGCTTCCCGGCGACCCCCGCGGCAGGGGCGGAGCCTGTTAGGAGGTGGAGCCGGGGGCGGGCCCATCGTGGGGGCGGAGCCGTACAAAGACCGCGGGGCGGGCGGGAGGCGCAGAGTCCCGGCGACACCGGCGGGAGTAGAGCGCATCGCTTCGCAGCGCACCGGGCGCAGCGCACCGCTGGAGCGTGTCGGCTGGACGGCCGGCGGCTGACGGCGTCCGCGCTGCCCGCCGCCCTCCATGCACGCAGCCCTGAGGGGCCCGGGCCGGTAGGCGGCTGGCGCCCCCATGCTGCTACAGCCTGCGGCGTGCGCCCCGAGCGCGGGATTAGCGCGGCCCCTGGCCGCCCGCGGCGCCATGCACGGCTCTCAGAAAGATACCACGTTCACGAAGATCTTCGTGGGGGGCCTGCCCTACCACACCACCGACGCCTCGCTCAGGAAATACTTCGAGGGCTTCGGCGACATCGAAGAGGCCGTGGTCATCACGGACCGCCAGACGGGCAAATCCCGCGGCTACGGCTTCGTAAGTGGCCCCCGGCCGCCGCTCCTTATCGCGGCCCGGGCGCTGAGTCAGCTCCAGGCGCACGCCCAGCGCCCCGGCTCCTGGGCGCCTTTTAGCCGGCACCTGCCTCATCCCCGGGGCTGGGCCCGCCCTCGGGCCCCGACTTCCTAACCCTGTTCCCCCCCAAGAGACCTCCCTTGATGCTCAATTAGCGTTACTAATGTTTCAGAACGGTTTTTGGGGCAGAGGCCTCTCTCGGGGTTTCCTGGGGCCTCATGCGAGTGAGGGCCAGAGGCTCCACCCAAGGGTGCTTTTGGGGGCCTTTAGCACCCTCCCCCATAGTCTCCAACAGCCCCACAGCCGCCGCAAATAAACATCACCTTAAGTGAAAACGGCTTGAAGATGCCGCTCCTACTTCCCTTCAGACCACAGTGCCCCCAGGCCCTTCCTATGCGGAAGTTCCCAGCCACGTTAGGGGGCAGATCAGCGCCAGGGGGCAGATCAGCGCCGGGGTGGGGGTGGGGATGCTTGGAGGGGGGCCCTGCCTCTGTGGGTTCATGTTTGCCCTGGGGCCCGCCGGAATTGTTACCACCTTTGACCACAAGTTGTTCCAGCACTTGGAAGAGTTGGAATTAAAGGGGGACTGGGTGGCACCTTTGTGGGAGGGTCTGATGTGACGGGGTGAGGGACATTTAAGAGGGAACCTCTCAGTTCGGGGCATCGGTGCTGGGCAGAGCCCCTGACTCTTGTGTCCGAGCTGCCCTCACCCATGTCCGGGAAGCCCCTGAGACCAGCATTGCTTCTCCCAGGTGACCATGACAGACCGGGCAGCAGCTGAACGGGCTTGCAAAGACCCCAACCCCATCATAGACGGCCGCAAGGCCAATGTGAACCTGGCATACCTGGGTGCCAAGCCGAGAAGCCTGCAGCCGGGTGAGTACGCTCTTTCCTGGACTCCAGTGTCTGTTGTATTCAGTGTCTGTTGATGGACGAGTCCCTCTTCCCTGTGCCCTCAGGAACATCACAGAGGGGTCAGCCCCAGTTTCTGAGAGGCCCCAAGCCAGACCCTTTCCTGAAACCGGCTGGAGGTGGGGGGTTGTTACCCCAGGCTATCAGGGAGGAAGGCTGCCTGTTGAATGTAGAGTCCTTACAGGGTTCACCGTAGGGCAAGGGCTGGAAGGGAGAGGAAGTGGGTTAGCCCTTTGCCTGGGGGTGTGTGTGGGGTGTGGCCTGTGGTTCCTGTTCGTCTGAGCTCCACTGCTGACCCCTCTGTTTCAGGTTTTGCTGTGGGTGTGCAGCAACTCCACCCTGCCTTGATCCAGCGAACTTACGGGTGAGTGGGTACGCGGGTGAGGTTGGGCATGGATTCTTCTCATGGGGAGCGCTTCACCCTGGGACCCCCAACCCCAGTGCTTTGGTAGTGCTGTTTGCAGCCAGGCTTCTGAGTCTGGGAAGTGCCTTTTCCCCCACCTTTCAGACACGTTGGTATTTTGACGATGAGGGAGGACATGGATGGGACTGAGGGAAGGCAGGTGGCATTTCTCAGAAGGACCTCATGGGGGAGGGTGGGGAGCAGGGGCTCTGAGTCAGCCTTCTGGGTTAAAATGCTGTTCTTAGTCCCACTGGGCGTTTGGCCTCAGAGACAGTTTGTCATCTGTAAAATGGGTGGCAGCAGCATACATCTGTACCTCAGTTTCCCCCTCTGTAAAATGGGGGTGGCAACACCACTGTTCTGTGCCAATCTGTAAAATGGAGGCTTATACTTGATTACTGTAACCCACTGCAAAGGATTGGTGGTGGGAATCCACTCAGTGCTTTTGGGAAAAAGGTCCGGTGATCCACCTCTGAGATTAACAGCCATTGAAACCGTAGGGTACACACTTCTCTTGTGAGGCGAGTTACCTTGATAGTACAGAACCGTGTGTTTGAACAGCACTTCCGAGAGACTGTGAGCAAAGGGCTTAGAAGGGCACATGTGCCGACATTCACAGGCACTGGCAGCTGGGTCATTCTCTGGGCACCTGGTGCCCGGTAGGTAGGGGAGCAGCTGGTTAAATGCCAACCAGGCTCTGATGTTCCTAAAACCTGCTGCAGGTCAGACTTGACCAAGGCTAGACTGCACCTGCCCGAGTGGGCTCCGTTGTATGGGCCTTTTGTCTGACAGGCATTGGTGAAGCACGCCCAGCTTCCTCCCCATCCTGCTTTTTTCTTGTAAGCAGCTGCTTGGGCCAGGGCACACACCCTCCAAGTTCTTGGCTCCGTGATTGATGCCGGCTGCTTGCACCCAAGCCTAGTAATGCGGGCAGCTCCTTTGAGACGTGGATTCCGGCTTCTGTGCTGCCAGTGAGATGTGGCTTTTTGTGAGTGGGGCAGGGTCTGATGGTCTGCTGAAGGAGCAGGCTGGGAAGTGTGGGCAGGGGACTGGAGTAGGAAGGAAAGGCCAGGTGGACCCAGGCTGCCAGGTAGAGGGGGACTGGCCTCTGAGCATGCCGCAGAGGCTGCCCCGGCGTGCAGTAGCAGGGTCTTCCCTGGCTTCGTCTGGCACCAGGTGCATTTGAGTTTAGCAGCAGGAAGAGCCCCCCACTACGGTGGGTGCAGGGTGTGGCTCCTGGCCTCTAGGGGTGACTCTTCTGGGTCCTGGGCAGGGGGACACAGGGTCTCTGTGGCTCTTTTGGCCTGGGCTCCATTTCATCATGGCTGGTGCTGTCTCAAGGTATTGGGGACACTCGGCCTTCCTGCTTTCCCTTGGCTCTTCCTCTTTGGGGTTCAGGTCACATGGGGAGTTTCTCCCTTGAGGTATGTTTTCTTCATTAGGTGCTCTTCTTGGGGTGCAGTCAGGGACTTGGGGTGGGGGTATGCAGAAGTGTCCACATCAAGGTTGAGCGTCCAGCGTGTGCAGCTCATTCTGCTAAAAACACGACATGTCTTCCCTACCTGGGACCCAGGTCTCTTGGATTCCTTCCCAGCGGAGACTCGAGTGACTGGCCTCTGGAACCCATGGGTCTGGGTTCCAATCTTGACTCTGACACTTAACGACTGGGTCCCTCGTGCCCAGTGCCCTCCCTTCAGCCACTAGTTCTCTCATCTGGAGAGTGGGAGTCATACCTGCTTAAGACCATGCCCGGCTCGTGGGGCTGCGCGTTCTGACCTCCCAGGCTTTCTCTCCTAGCCTCACCGCAGCCCTCTGAGGGTTGTTGTTGTTGTTTGTTGTTAAGTATTGTAGGGTAGGGCTGTTACTGTCTTTACTTTACAGACAGGAAGAGTCTCTGGGTAGTGTGAGCACCCTTGGCTGCTAATCGAAAGATTAGCGTGTCTATTCAGATGCGCTGTGGAAGGAAGACCTGGCAATCTGCTTCTAAAATCTGGGCCATTGAAAGGCCTGTGGAGCGGAGTTCTACTCTTATGGGGACACCAGGAGTTGCTGAAATGGAGCCAACAGCCTGTCCCGGGGGCAGCCCCAGGTCCTGTGTTCTCAGGTGCAGTTCTTTGGAGGTAGGGTGCCCTGCTCTCCCTCCCCCATGGTCTCCGAACTGTGAGCCTTGCCCCACAAGAGGCTTGTTGAGGGTCGGCACAGATTTTACCAGCACCATTTGCTCTTGACTTCAGGAGATGCTGTTTTGTAACTTGATCCTCTGGCTGGCCACTTAATACCTAGGACAGTGACAAGCCTGAAAGCTAATTGTGGTTGCCAAGGGGTGAAGACCCAAACAGGGACAAGGGGCCCGAGGGACTGTCCAGCTCTTTGTTTTCAAAGGCACATGAACCGAAGACTCCGGCCTCACCCTTCCAGAGGCTCCCCTGGAATGACAGCAGGGTCCTCTGCGGTGCAGCTTCTGAAAGGTGGTCAGGGCTCTGCTGCCAGTGCCCACCCGCCTGACCAGAGAGTTGGATTGTCAGCGTCCCTTTTGTCTTTGCAAACATTCAGACCCAGAGTGCAGCTTGGCTCGGTGGTTAGAGTTGTCCACTGCAGGCTGGTGGCCAGGCCCAGCCTCCCTGTGTTAGCTCAGGCACAGTGGGAGGCAGGAGCCTGGCAGCTCAGAGCAGCCCTGTTAACCCCTCTCCTGCCCGGTCAAACTTCGATCGTTTACTTCCGCAGTCCGTCCTGGGACCCTGCTTTGAAATGCCTACCCCGATGGTGGTAAACTGTAGAAAGATTCTGCAGAGAGCTTGGATACGATGTCTTCGCCCTGTGATTTCTTTAAGTTGAGTGGGGTTTCTCAGGACCTAACTTTACCTGCGTGTGTTTGGCACAGGACTGTGTGTGGCTGTGGTCTGGGGTTTGGAGAAGGTGTTCTTACTAGCCCCTCAACCCTGTGTGGTCACTGGGAAGAAAGCAGGCAGGCACACTTCTTCCGCTGACTAGTTGGAGTTGAAGCCTGCAGGCAGGAGGGAGGGGCAGGGATTTGGCAAGGACACAGGTCCAGGCTGAGCCACGGGTTTGGCCTGAAAGGGACCTCCTAGATTCAGGGTGTGTCCCCACCTGGATACCCGTGTTTAGCTTCTGAGGTTTGTCCTGGACTTAGCTGCACTTGGAGCTGTTCCTGGGTTATTTTTGATGGGTCAGCTTCAGCTCTGGGTATAGCCCCCAGCGCCCCATATTTTTAGGAGGGCCCTGCTGCAGGCACTGTGCCTAGGATACCTTGATTTTCCTTGACCCATTGGCAGTTGTGTAGTGTGTTGTTTAATTTCTGTACATTTGTATATCTCCCTCTGTTACTGATTCTAGACTTGCTCTGCTGTTTCCATCTATCTCGGTTTATAGAGACTGACCTAACACGTGGTCTGTCTTGGAGAATGAGCCTGTGTACCGGAGAAGGACAAACAGTGTGCCGTTTTGGGGTGCCATATTCTCTCTGTGTCCGTTATGCGTAACTGGCTCATAGTTTCACTCGGGCCCTCTGTTAACATGTGGATCTTTCTCGATGGTCTGTCCAATCTTGAAAGTGGCATAGTGAAGTCTCCAACTATTCATGTCGTATTATCTGTTTCTTCCTTCAGTGCTCCCAGTTTGCTTTATGTGTTTAGGTGGCCCGAGGTTGAGTGCAGATGTGTTTATGATGGATAACTGTTCCTGATGAACTCTATCCATTTGGTCTGGGATAATCTGGTGAATCGGGAAGGCAGGGTTTCCTCAGGGTGAACACTCACATCTCCCAGGGAAGCCAACACTGGAAACGCATCTGTGCCTGTGGGGGCTGTGCAGGGGGCGCACACAGGGACGTTAGCATGTGCAAACTTGGTGGGTCTCCGGTTAGGGTCCTGGTGTCACAGTGTCACCATGGGGAGCAGGCTGTATGTATTGGGGAGGTAGGGGGACTTGCTCATGACCACCCTGTACTAGTTGTACACCTTCGTGGGTGGCAGGAATCACTTCACAATGAAGTTGTAAAAGTACGAAGCTGGGAGGGCTTTCAGCATGATGGTGGGCTGGGCCTCTCTGAGCGCGGGAAGCCCCGCAGACACCTGGGAGGATGAGGATGAGGACATCAGGGAAGCAGGTGCATGGTGCAGGGGTGGGCGCGGCAGGAAATGAGGTTGGAGCAGAGGTGTAGGGGCAGGACCCAGGGCTGGGGCGCCCTCTGGGCTTTGTTTTACTTTCAGCAAAGGAACATTTGAGGTGATGGTAGGAGGCTAGTGGAGCCCGGACTAGGCTTGGGGCGAGGGGTGGCTTTCGAGGGGAGGTCCATGTGACTGGAGAGTTGAGCAGATGGGGGTCAGCATGGCAGCAGGGAGGGGACAGGAGATGAGCTGACAGGGCCCCCAGTGCCCCTGGGGAATGCTTGGGTCTTTATTGAGTGATCAAGGCAAGCTGTGGGCGAGGAAGGGCGGGGCCTGCGGGTCTCCTTAGACCTTCGGTGTCTGCTGGGGGGGTGGGCCTGGACCCTGGTGAGCTACTGCTGAGTTCTGGAGGGTGTGCAGTTTCCAGAACTTTGGGCCTGAGCTAGCAGAAGGAGGTGTTGGGCTTGGACAGATGAGAATTAGGCACTGGTTCTGGGCTTGGCATTCTCCCTGCAGGGAGGGTCTTTTCCTGTGTCCCGGGGGTCCACTGCCCACCGCATATTCACAGCCTTGGAGACTGCCCAGTGGTCCACGTGCAAGGACAAAGCTCAGATTGGCTGCCCCCTTTCCCGAGGCTTCGGGGCTGAGTGGGGTGGTTGCCGCATGGTGGGGCCCAGGCCCTGGAGACCAGTACAAGTGAAGGGCCAGTTATTCTTCTTTTTTCATTTTCAGAGGGCTCTGTGATTCCATCCGACCAGTCCTCCTGGGCCGTCCCTGGTCACTTTTGCGGAGAGCTTTGCTCTGAGGGTGCACCAGCGTGGCCAGATGCAGCCT